CAAAAACTTAACCATGGTTCTCCCCCAAACAAGCAAATAAAAACTCAACCATGGTTAAATATAAGCCACAAATCCCTCTCTCCCCTTACCGCACCGGCATCGACCCCTTCCTATATAAACGCCTCAAAGGTCTTCCCCTCCATGACCTAAAATTCCCAACGGAATCCTCTGAACCATCAATCCAAGCAATCGGAAAAAACCCTCCAACACCGATCAATCAATCGGAGCAGAAAAAATGGCATCCGCCTCATCTTTTCTCAGCCTGCCTTCTTCATCTTCTCTAATCGCCCCCAATCTCGAATCCGGGAGATTTCACTCTTCGCAGCCGTCTCGAATCGGATTCCAGCCGCTCCGAGTCTCCGCCTCCTGCGCTTCCACCGCCGAGAGGGGTACCAGCACGTCCACAGCGGGCAGTCGCCGGCGAGGCGCTAATCCCGCTGCCGCCTCGTCGTTCTACGAGGTGCTGGGGATCCCGATGGGCGCGTCGTGCCAGGAGATCAAGTCGGCGTACCGGAAGCTGGCCAGAGTCCTCCACCCGGACGTCGCCGGCGAGGAGAGCGCGGCGAGCGAGTTCATCGAATTGCACAAGGCGTACGAGACGCTCTCCGATCCGGCCAAGCGGGCCGATTACGACCGGTCCCTATTCCGGCTGGGGCGGTCGATGAGCTACGCGTTCGTGATGTCGGCCGCTTCCGGTTCGGGATCGGGTTCCCGGTCCGGGTACACCAGCCGGAGGTGGGAGACTGATCAGTGCTGGTGAAAATCAGTAGGGCCGGACTGATTTGCAAAGGGGGAAAAGAAGCTGGACTGTTTTGGAGCCTCTTAGATCTATGTATAGGAAGTAGTATTAGACTAGTTTAGATCGATTCAGAAAATTAGAGCTCGATTCTGAAATTCGCCATGTACGTAGCAAACCAACGCCTTTCCTGAGTTCGGATCTTCTGATGATGTATCAGTTAACGGGCGGCATTTTTTTTCCAGCCCGAGTTTCAATGGAAATCTCCTTGGATTTGAATGGATGTTTGTTGCAAAAAATTTGAGGACCAAAATGGAATTTTGGTAGTTGGAAAAGTATTGGCAGTTTTGATCTACACAAGTACACAACACACCAAGAAAGATTTCTCTCATCATGTGCTTCTAGAAGCAAATCTCAAGTATGGAAAGAGAGTAGCCAATTGGCATTCGGTATCTAAAACGAAATTCTCTTGTTTCTTCACTTCCCCCCCTTTTGATTTAGGTAGGACACAAAATAAGCATGGGACCCCAGAAGGGCAATTTGGTACTACGTATCATCATCGGTTGGGATCTCGAACATATCGTAATTCTAGAAGTTCATGGTTGATAGTATCAAATCGTACAAGTCTGAATCTCATATATTTTAATGATCAGAGTAAAATTTAGCGGTCCAGATTGGTGATGATTTATGTAATTAACATGCGAGTAAAGTTAATAATTGAGATAGAGAAGGGCGAAATATCAAGTCATGTTATGTTTGCTCGTTCGGACACCTAGCCAAAAAAAATTCAAAAGGAAAGGCAAAAATAAGATGGCAATCAACCGGAATGAGACTTTTCAGATAAGGGGGGATCTAAGGTGTGGAGGGCAACCGATGTTAATTACATTGATGGTTAGTTTTGTTTGTAGTTTATGTCCATCCAATGGTGTCTCTCTTGATGGGGACTCGGGAAGGGAGACTAAATAATGCATCACTTTAATAATGGTGTTTTTTTTTAAGTAGTTAATGATTCCGTCTCTGTCATTAAAGAACGTAACAAAAGGATTAGTGAATAATCAATTAGCTGTCAACCTCAATCAATGGGGGAGAAGAGAACAAGGGGCGGTGACCCTGAAATTAGTAAAAAACTAACCGTTGGCTGGAAGTTGAAGTTGAAGTTGGATACCCGCCGGGGCCACATAGTTGGAAATGACAAAAAAAAAAAAAAAAAAAAAAAAGCCAAATTAGTGGGAAACCAGTGGGCGTAGCAGCTCGATTTCGCAGCTCACATGGGTTGGTTCGGCCTTTTGTTGCCTTGTTTGTTGGTAAATATTAGACCATAGTTTTCGTGACGTTCGATGGGCTTTTACAATTAAGCTTAAGAAACTAAGCCCACAGAAATACCTGACGACAGAGTGGAGCGATCCCTAATTCCTACATGACTTCAACTAATGATATGAGCGACTCGTTATGACTTGCAGTCGCAATGCGAGTTGCAAGAAATTGTATTCGAGGTTACAACGAAAAAGTTAGTGGTATGATATATTGTACTAAAATTGTGGTTTAATCGCGATTCACTCGTTTCGTATATCATTACAATCGCCTATTTTTCTACGTTTGTGATCCGATACCTGATATTTTTTCGGTCCGGCTAAACGGTGGACTACGGTAAGGTTTCGTAAACGTTGGTTGCAAAACACCAATTTCGTAACACGAGTTTCAAATTTACGATGTCAGGTATCCGAGCCAACTCAATCTGTTAGTGGGGAGCTATTTGTAGCATACGAGGGATCATAATGTCACTCCATATGTGTTTAAGAGATTATAACATGTGGGAATGTTTGAACATACACTTGGAAGTGTTAGGATACAATCTGTTAACTTCTTGTCCAGTATTTGGATTGAAATTTTATGTTGTTGTTGTTGCATTGTTTTAATCAAAGCCTCGTTGTAATTGCCGACTACCCTAAGCATCTACATTGGTTGCATCGGCGATGTTCTTACCTTGCAAAACAGTAGGCTTCCGAGTAGGAGTGGGCATTCGGTCGGTTCGGTTCAAACCGATCCGAAATTATGCATACCGGGTCCCCAAATTCTAGCAACCCTCAAACCGAATTATAATTCGGTTCGGTTCGGTTTTCCATACAAAACCGAAATAGTGAGGTAAGCTTGTATCTTCTCTTTTTAAAATTATTTTTCACCCATAATGTGAACAATAAATATGCATCATCAATGATAAAATCAAACATTTCAACACATAAGTCATAAAACACTAACATGATTCAAATATTTAAGTATCATAATAAGTAGAAACATAAAAATCCACCATTTAAAACTTGCAATTATAATAATTCGGTTTTTCGGTTCGGAATTCGGAAATTTGGTTCGGTCGAAAGGACCCTGATTTCCGAAATATGCCATTTTCTCTTCCGAATTCCGAACCGAATAACATTAATTCGATTTCGGTTCGGTTTATATTCGGTTCGGTTCGGTTTTACCGACCGTATGCCCACCCCTACTTCCGAGATTTATAAGACGTTTGGATGGGGACAATTGGATGTGGCACTGTGCGCCAATTGCTCCAAAATGAGGCATTTGAGTTTTAAAAAAAAAGTCATGAGTATGGTATGATATTTGGAAAACATAAGAAATGGGTTTGTATTTCCGTATGATGCATTTTCCCCTCCTTCAATGCCATGTTTTTAATTGTAGTATTTTTTTTCTTTTACAACAAATAAAAGCATTCAAACAAGCTTTCGTCATCTGTGTCTAATGACGCTCTTCTAGCGAAGAAAGGGTAACATATTGTTAGTATCACTAATCATTTGCACCTGGTTTCCCAAGTAATGTTAATGGGCAGATTTTTGCCATTATCATCCTCATCCTCATCACTATCCTCATTCTCATTTCCAAGAACTCAAACTCTTACATGTCACTTACCCATATGGAGAGAGATTTCACGACCTCATCCATGTACCGGTGGATAATGTCCGTTCGGTATATTCAATATTATTGTACCTAGAATAAATATAATAATTGATATGACTTTCTCTGCGGATCGGAAAATAGGAGGACTTGACAATGCAAGAAAAGGAAAGAAAGAAAAAATACACGGAAAACACACGAACTTACGTGGTTCATTAACACAATGTGTGTTAGTTAGTCCACGGGCAGGATAGAGTCAGTTTCACTATACTTCGAGAAGATACAAATTACAGAGGAGTATGAGAAGTAGCGTCAGTCCGATTCAAGTCACATTAACAATTATTTATAATAAACATGTAAATATTCAGTTATAACATTTAAACAAACCTACTAATAAACAGTAAAGTAAAAAAAAGTACAATCATTATTGATATGTCAAAAACATCCAATCCTACAACATTCATTATTCCACGAGACAATCACTACTTTTACTATCCAATTACTATTTTTGCAAACATATAATAATACCCCTTTGCAAGGCGGGTGTTTGTGTGAGTATTGGTACCGTGGTACGTGGTGGGCGACCTAAAACCATCCCCTCATTTCATCAATATTTTCACTGAGTTTATTCATATCTATCTCATACATAATTAATAGGGAGATTCACGAATTTATTGGGCGAGGCAGTCAGATAAAGGTGAGTTTTTTTATTTATGAAAAGAGCTACTTATATTGCAATTTGGAAGAGCGATTTATAGATGGTAGAGGTGGAGAATACAAAAATGGACAAAAAGCTCAAGAACTCCAAACAACCAGAAGGATATATCATGTTGGAAAGATGCATCATTAAGAGGGGAAAAATAGCATTAACAACAACTAAGGGGAGCCAGGGGCGAAGCCAGGATTTTAAATCCGGGGGGGCCAAAAATAAAATTTTAAATCATACCAATAAAATAATAATATAAAATATATTTTTATTATTTATTATCTTAAACGTACACGTCGCTCTTTGAGATCAATGAAATCACTCAAAATATCATATAAACTAAAGGTGTCCACTATATCACGTTCGATATAAATAACAAGACCATCAGCTAGAAAATCATCACCCATTTTGTTGCGCAGTTTGGTCTTCACCAACTTCATGGCAGAAAAAGCTAGTTCACCACTAGTAGTAGAGACTGGAAGACTCAAAACAAGACGAATTAGCCGATCAACAAGATCGAAGTCCTTTGACTTCCCGGACTCTGCTAAACCATGACATAGTTCAGCAACAGATGATAGATTCGCCAAAGCAGGATGTGCAAGAGCAGCACCATGAAAAATCCTCAACTGGAATGCCAATCTATCTATTTCTTTCTCAGAAAAATCCAAAGGACTTTCCAGCAAGACTGCAAATAGCATTAACATCGAAGGCTTTATATCCATTGCTAGGATCCAAACTCGAGCTCAATTTCAGAAGTTCAACAATCTTTTCCTCAAACCTTGCTCTCAATTCCTCTATCTGAACATCAAGGGCAGCATTGAATATATCAAAATGATAATGATGCTCATTGGTGATAGTATCTACCTGTCTGCAAGGACGACCTTCAAAATGTGAAGCACTAAAATCTGGAACTGTAATACTATAATCCTTGCAGAACTTGTTGACCTTTGTCAAGAAAGAATCCCAACCTTCATCCCTCATTTCCTTCAACACCATTTTAGTAATTTCCACCAAACTCATGGCATTCACAATGTCTTGAGACTTATGTTGCAGAGCACGACAAAGTGTATCAGTGGTGCCAAAGATATCATTCAGTAGAAGTAGAATGAAAATAAACTCATATGATGACATCTTCCTCAAAGCTACACGAGCATCCCCTTTGTTTTTGGCCGTATACCCATCTTTCTTTATGTCTTCCAGAACTTTGTAAGATGATTCATACAATCGAATAACACTGGATATAGAATTCAGATGTGAACTCCAACGAGTATCACCAGCTCCTTGTAAAGTACTCATTTGATTAACACTGGTTCCTGTGGCAATCTCTTCCCCTGCTACTAATTGAGCAATCATAGCTGCTTCAACAACTTCCAATTGATCATGCCTCTTAGAAGAAGCATTAACAACATTTACAATATGTGCCAAGTCAATGAAAAACTCGTGCACGGCTGTCACATCTTTAGATGCTGCAACTAGTGCTAATTGAAGACGATGAGCCATACAATGCACATAATAATCTTGAGGATGATCTTTCAGAAACAATGCTTTCAAACCATTCCATTCACCGCGCATATTACTAGCACCATCATAACCCTGCCTACGTAGATTCTGAATAGCAAACTTATGGGAAGAAAGAGTTAAGCAAATCGAAGTGTGCAAAGTCATTGATTTTGTATCTCTAACATGGACAACATCAAAGAATTTCTCCTGGATTAGCCCTTGAGAATCATCAAAGCGAAGAATGATAGCCATTTGTTCATGTTTACTCTCATCATAAGCCTCATCCACAATAATGGAGAATTTAGAATCTCCTATTTCTTCAAATATTTTGTTGCGTACCTTCTTAGCTGAACATGAAGAATTTGCTTCTGAATATCGGATGATGTATACTTCGCATTCTTCGGAGCATTACCCAACACAGTACTTTTGACTTCATCATTGTAGTAAGAGAAGCGATCAATAAGCTCAATGAAGTTGCCACGATTCTTAGAATGAAGGGTCTCATCATGAGCTCTAAAGGCGGCTCCTTGAAGTGCTAGCCAACGAGCACTATCAATTGAGGCTTTCACTCGAATCCTATTCTTCTTTACTTCCTCGGAAGTTTGCTTCTTAATCACTTTGTCAATGTGTTGAGGTTAGTGTAGTAATGCATTGCGCTTCCTTACTGCAACATTGTGATGAGAATTTGAGCTTTCTCCCATATGCTTTCGGAATGAACAACCTTTTTCACTTTTAACCTTTTTCCGATTTCGAAATCCTTCATTAACAAATGTGTCCCAACCAGATTCAGCAATAGGCTTTTCATCAAACAAATAGCACGGGAGACAATATGCAGCATCCTTTGATTCTGAGTATTCAACCAAAGGAAATTCATAATACCATGCAACTTGGAAGCCGCGAGGATGATCAGGATCACCAGTTCTAGGAAAGTTAGGAAGCTCAACTTGTAGGGGGCCATAACTCAAGTAAGCTCGCCTTATCTCATCACGTTTATTGGGTGGAAATGTCCACACTGGCTTACACAGTCCAGGATCTCGTTCGATTAAGGCGAATGATGGATTAGTCACTCTCGGACTAATGAGAGAATCCTCATTCACCACAACATTAGAGCGCTCATCAATGCCCAAGTTCAAAGCTCTAGGAACTACTTGTACTTCCTCTTCGAAATGATTACCAGTGCATGGCAAAACATTTCTTGGAAAAAATGCATCCAGCTTCTTTTGTTTTCTCTTCATGGTAGCTAACAAGAACAAAACAAAAAGTTAAGGTCATTAACATTATCAATCGAGAACCAATAAAACATGAACACATTTTGTAATCCAAGTTCAAAGTATCTATTCCAATTTGACAGTATACTGCATACACATACCTATTGCTCCATGCCCCTAGTTTACTGTAGGTGTTTGAGAATTGAGCCAATTTTATATGGCAATTTTCACACTCCAATTTCAGTTTAGCAACCACTAAATTAATCAATCCTACTTCAATTCCCAAACTGAAAGATCAATTCCACATCGAATACCCAATCAATTCCATAACCCTACCGAAAACAGGAAAGTGAAAACAGCAATTGGAGCAGCATAAACTAGAGGGAGCAGCAATGTACTCGCTATAGGAATGAATGGGCGACTTTGTGCTAGACAGAGGAGCACGGACGGAGATGAGATGGCGATTGGGCGAAGGCACGATGATTCGATGAAGCTGAGTCTTGAATCCCGACGGCGACGGCAACGAAAAAGGTGACTATGATCGCCGGAGGAGCACGAACGTAGTCACGAAGATGAGAGGGCGGTTGGCCGAAGAGTTGAGTTTTGACTCCCGACGAGTGGACGGAGATGAAAAGGGACGAGGCGGGAGTATTTTGGGGGAAAGCACTGCGAGGGGAGGAAGACCTCTGTTTCCCGAAAGTGAATTGGGAATTAGCCTTTGTTGAGTGTTCTCGTTTTGACTTTGAGGGCTGTAATATTAAAACAAGTTAAGTCAAAAAATTAAAATAATGAAAAGATGCAGCAGCCAGCAGGGAGATGTCGTTTTGTGGATATTTGAAAACAAAAGAAATAACAATGAAAAGGAAGTATGAGACAGGTTTCGAACCTGCAAGCTCTTATTCACAATGTTAGAGTTTCATCGCTGCAATATAACTATTGTTCGTGTTTATTTAATGGAGATACCTATATTTGTAAATTTTCTATAAATTCCCGGGGGGGCCATGGCCCCCCGGCCACTGCTCTAGCTTCGCCCCTGAGGGGAGCCAAAGCCTCAGTCAAAACAAAAGTATACTAACATGCTCACACAACTGCCACTGTCGAAGAAGCACCAAAACAAGAGTGAGTATAACAATACCATAAGCCGCCTTCTAGGAGCCATTCACGGACGACTTATCACAATGAATTTCAGTTTTCGATTACATTTTGGGGAACATGAAGACTGAAGTCGTATTGCTCAAAGTTTACATGGGCTAGAGAAACCGGAGTTAGCAGGCTAGGTCCAAGGAGAAAAGGGAAACCAGAGGGTTGGAGGCAAGCCCAACGGAAAACCCAAACCAAATAAAATAAACCTACAACTTGAAGCCCGAGCTCATACAGGCCCATCAGACGAATTGAAGCCCAAATCCAAATCATCTTTTCCTGGGCTTGCCAGGAAGTCGGAAAATAGAAGTGTCAAACACCACATACGCATTAGCTCCCTGACAATTAAACCATGAGTGTGGATACCCGACCGTCTAGACCTAGTTAACACGAGAATTCCCACTTTGATCGGGTATGAGATAGGTATGGATAAAATCCGTAAAAAGTTTGATGGGTACGACATATGAGTGGGTATGGTTTTAGCCTCCTCCACCCCATACTCACTCATACCCGCCCACCAAGAACATTTCTTCACATATAAAAAATACATGGATCAAATTGTAAATATCGTGCCACCCAAATCAAAACCTAATTCATTTCTCTCAATTCTCGCTTCATTCTTTCACTTTTGCCTCTTGTTAATAAAATTATGCTACTTAATTATTACTTAGCACATGTATTAGAGTTAGAGAATAACTATTTGACAAATATTGTACTCTATCTTATGGATTAATGGATGTTTTAGGATCATATGATTTAAATCGTATTAAGAATGATTTTATCTTTGTTGACTTCATGATATAGTAGGTACGTTTAGTGTTATAATAAAAAAAATTACATGTAAAGTCTTGGGTATAATAATGTTGGATGTACGGGACGGGTATTACTCATGAGTACCCGAAAGGCCGAAACTCACAAGTACGGGGATGGGTTTGCAGAACCTTTCATGCATGGGTACTAGGTAGGACGTAGGTATGAGTTTGAATATTTGAAAAGAGGGATAAAATGATTCAGACAACTGGCCCATGGATTTTGTACTTGCGGGCTGGCAATAGTATCAACTATCAAGATGGGCGGATCATAGAAAAAAACTTTAGCTCCAGCCCAAAAGCCCAACAAACTGAGTTACATACTTTTGTTGAAACTAGCCGCCGTCGGCAGGTCTCAGGCAGCGCAGAAATGGCTAGACTGATACGGCCCTTGCGCCAACAATGGCCGCAGCTCAATAACCACCATTGTTGCCGCTCAAGTCCTTCGCTCCACCATCTCCTGACCTCTCCAACTTCAACATTAAGCTGCTGCAGAGCCGCTCCGCAAATTGTCTGTTTCACTGCTACCCCTTTCGCCTCTCACCGCAGCGTCCACACTCGCACTCGCGCGCGCGGTCCCAGATTCGCAAACGCTCCGCGGTCGGCCGACGTCGACGAGAATGAAGGCGAGAGCGGAGGCAGCGATTCCGAATCCGATGGAAAGAAGAGCCGCAACGAGAAGAAGCGCGAGGCTCGCCGCGCCGTCCGTTGGGGGATGGAGCTCGCCGCCTTCGCTCCTCCGCAAATCAAACGGATTCTCAGGTACCCTTAGCGAATCCAAGTTCTGCCTTCTCCAGGTTAGGATTTAGTAATTAGCTTGATTGTTTGTATTTGGGGAAAATCTACAGGATGGCTAAGCTTGAACGAGAGGTGTTCGAAGCTTTGACGCTTGTAAAGGTGCACATTTCTTCCCCTGATTATCTTTGGGCAAGCAGTTGAGTTTCTGTAAGATATTGTAGCTAAGGTGTTTGTTCAATTGTCGCAGAAATTCGGACCAGACGTCAAAGAAGGGAAGCGAAGGCAATATAACTATATCGGTAAATGATTCCTTGTTGTTGTCGAATTAGGGTTAAAATTCTCTTTCATTTTCTCAATTGAATCAATCAATCCTTCATGTGAAATGGTTTGCACAGGGAAGCTGCTTCGTGATGTAGAACCTGAGCTAATGGACGCCTTGATCCACGCGACCAAAGATGGGGACTGGAGTAGGCTGCAGACCGTTCCTGGTTTCAAAGCTGAAGAAGCCAATGACAAAGAAATCGAAGATGAATTCGAAGAGGAAGAAGAGGTACGATGAATTAGTTTACACCGCAAGTATTGGTTAATAAAGCTTGGAATGATAGCTTAGGCCTCAAAGAACTTAGTTTTAGGGTTTCGGTTTCATCCATTTGAAGGGTACACATCGTAGTATCAGCCCCGTCCTAGTTTTTTTCTCGGTCTATCATTAAGCGAGTGATTTTATATATCAAGAGAGGAAGGAACAGGGGAAACACACAATCTGCCTACGAATCTTTAATGGTAGAAGCAGCCTCATCCTAGTTCACTAGCTTTACTAGAAACGGCATTTGCTCAATCATCATCGGATAAATTTGCCAGGTTTCTGAGGAGCACATTGAGATGTCAACCAGATGGTTTGATGGTTTAATCACAAACGACGTTGACATAACCAAAGAAGTTTATGCAGTTCGCGTGGTTGATTTTGATCGTCAGGCAAGTGTTAATCTGTCTTCTACAAGTACTTTAATATCATCATTACTTCATACCATATTATTAGAGGCTTATCATCAAGTCTGCCTGGTTGTAATTGACAAGCAGAGTGTGGATGGTCTGTTATTAAGTCATGCTGCTGCATTTGGTTTCGTTGTCTATTACTATTTGCAGGAGTTGCGGAAACTAGTACGAAAAGTGCATGCAGTTCAAGAACGGGAATCTGATGGAGACGAGGAGAGTGAGAAGAAGGCAGCCGCTGCCATGGCCACTGCCAAGAAGTCGCTCAACAGGTTCCTTCGTATCCTTGCCAAGCAGATGCCTACTGAATAATGATACTGAATCCAATGCTATTGAGTTTTAATAAGAAAAAGATGATTATTTCATCATTGGGCAAGTTTGGGTAAATGCTCTATTGGGTGATGGGCTGTACTAGGACTTCAGGCCCAATGGTCTACGGGCTTGGGCATGGTCATGGGCCTGGAAGTCCATATTTGCCTTCTAAGCCTTGAAGATCACATAATTTGCACTGTGCCAATGTACCCACCAACAAAAGAAAAACCGCTGCCCTTGGAGAGGGACGTTAGCTTGGACCCGATCCATTCGTCCCTTTATCACCCATTCACCATTTATTTGTATTTTTCCTTCAATAGTTTAACTTCAATATATGTATCGCTAAGATCAAACCTTAATTTAGTTTTATAGTCTCGCGTACACATTTATTTATAACTTACTTAACCTTGTATTTCCATATATTATGGTCTTTAATAGTGATATAGGTTTGTTTTTAAAGTTAGTTGTTGGTTAAGAAATTCGAATATTAAACCTTCAAGTTGAAGAATAGTGGTAGTATCACTAGACTAAACCTTGTTCGTATATATTAGAATGGATATATCAGGGTTTCTAGGGTATCAGTGTTCTGGCTAGGGTTGCTCACCGGCGATCGGTATTCAATTCGGAAAAATTCGTTTTTGGCTCGTTTACTAATGAGTCGAGGTGGCTTAATAGTGTGCCTAACGAGCCACCTCGACTAGCGGTTTATGAGTGAATCGACTTATAGCTTACGAGTTAGCTTGTTGATAATTCATAGGTTTGTTAGATTATGTATCTCATTACATGTTGTGTTTAAGACTTTGAGTACGTGATTGAATATGTCTCGATTAGAATTGAAAAGTGAAATTAGGTATCATTGATTATCTAAATACAAATTACTCTTAAATCACATTTTATGAACAATTAAAATTTGTGAGGCTAAATAATATGATATACGAGCTCGAGCCGATCTAGCGAGCTAATTGATTGGTTGAACTCGATTAGAGTTCATGAACTTATTAATGAGTCGAGTTGGAGTCGGTCACGACAAAGGTTTCACTAGAGCTCAAATTAGATAAAAATTCGGTTGGAATTGACTCATCCAGCGCTCTAGTTCTGGCCACATCACAACCGATTATATTTTTATCCTTGGACAATGCAAATATTTCGTGGCTGTGAAGAATTTGGACGTGCGTATGTGAATCCAGAGGCGGTTCCAAATTGAATCAGTTTTGTATTTGATTGAGATTGGATGATGTTTGCGGCCAAAATGAAAACGAGCTCCATAGGCGGTGACGTCGCAGCCCCAAGCCATTTTCAGGCCTGATTTTCCGGACGCAGACAAGGTTTAGTAGGTGCAAAACAGACACAATGACGATGCAAAACCGCTGATGCAACTGACGGTAACAAGTGTGTTTCGTCGACAAAGACAAGAGGGCGGTTGAATTATGTGGAGCAAATTATCCCTTGTTTGTTCAATAATGCAAATTTAGAAGAAAAGTAATTAAAATTTAATTTTGTTTGTTGGTTTTTAGCATCAGCTGATGCAATCGTATCATCATTCTCTCTGGATTTTCCATAAATATGGATTGTTATATCTTCTTCCACGGGAAGGCAAGGCTAGCACTATGATGGAATGCAAATCACATTATTATTTGGTCCCATCTCTTTCGTCTAGGTAACACTAGTCATCATGAAACGATACCATCAATTGCATTTTTGGGCAATTTGATTGTTCCACACGCATAAGTTGCTTAGAATATGACAAATACATAAACCAGTATACGCGATTAACAAAATAGGTATTACACGTGATAAGCTGATAATACTTTTCTTGCCAAGGCAATCGTTCTTGGGAGCAACAAAATGATATCTGTCTACCTCGATACAATTTTCTAGTAGTCGTTCATAACTTTTTGTATATAGAAATGATTTCGAAAGATTTGACGCAACCTTTTCTTTCCCAATAAGAAATGTACAAAAGAACTACGAAGTTCTATTTCTCAATATCGATTTTTAGCTTTCGAGCTATATGTAGAGAGAATTGACGCAACCTTTTACCATGCGTGCCAAATTGAATAACATCCCTAATAAGAATGACTTGCTACAACGTTTGAAATAAACGATATACGTACAAACTGTTAGATGCATAACTTACTAACTGGTAAATCATAAGAACGAACGTGAAAACTAGGAGGGGGCTCCAGTTCTTCAGTAGTTTGATGCACAGTCCTATTCTTAATTTACTTGTTAATTTTGTTTGGCTATGCCTATGCCTATGCCTCTGCATCTTTATCTTGTAGATCATCATCTCATTTCCTTTCTAGTGTGAAACCAAATCTTTGTGATAATGGGGCCATAGGGCAAGTCATAATTGTGTTTGCATCAATCATCATCATCAACGCGCGCTCTCCCGTTGGGGCTATTACTCTTGCCAAAGTCCATTTGTCTTGGCTAATCACGTATCTAATAAGTTCTCTTTCCTTTTTTTCATACATCTTAGTCACCTTATATTCGATATTTTCGGTTGAGTAAAATTTGAGTAGTAGTGCAACTAATACGAATTATTAGTCGCGGAGCTATATGGTATAAAATTATAATGTGTACTTTTATGCATTGACGATAAAATATTGTCCAGTGTGAGTATGAAGACTGTTAGCCCATTCTTTCGGGATCTTGGTTTAATCTGAAGTATTTATCGCAATAATTTTCTATTTTAAATGACTTCGATGTGATCTCACTAATAAAAATTATACCAAACAATTATATAAACTCAAGCAAATAAGTACAAAGAACTGCGTGCTATATATAATTTATTTTGTCAATTTTCTTACACAATTAACTATAAAATGGGCCAACTCGAACCATACAAAACACTTAGATCGATTCTCATAAATACATTCAATCCAACAGCTGTTAGGTTCACTTTTTCATTGATCATTGTTATAGCCTAGAAGTGATGGTGCCCCTTACATTCTGGTCCCAAAACCTTTGATTGAGTCATAGTGACTCTCCAAACATTGCTCTTTTGGTCCTAAAAAAAAGAGTAACTGTGTTGCGATGCTTAATTACAACCGTTAGATATAGTGTTAGCGACACACAATCTCAAATCGATCTAGGTGATAACTATTTCATAAATTCAGCCAGCAGTCATAAATTACGAGACCAACAGCGTAAGCAGGCATACCTGAAACTGAAAACACAAGTCCATATTGATTTCCACCCGGTGAAGCAAAACGTTGTTTTTGCAAAGTAACTAAGCTGGGGATTGCGTGTGGAATCTGCTCGGCCACCACTTATATGCTATTATTACTACTGATTAGTGTGGTAAAAGAGCCAATCATTATGGGTCACGTATCATGGTAATTAATAACACTAATATAATAGTAATTAGTACACCCACCAACACCAAGTGTCAATTCCTTGGTAAAAAAAAAAAACAAGGAAGAACATATTCTTTCCCTCCACCTCCACTCAAATTATTATTCCCTTTGAAATTGAATTTATGACCACTTGATATAATAAGGCGGTTTAAATCGATGGTTGTCCTAGCTAGCTACTAAGAAGATACTTGTGCACTATAGCTACAATCTAATCAATTGGTTTGATTGCTGAAGCATTGATATTTGTTGGGTAGGAGGTATTATAACATTTTCATCTGAATTAATGTATGAATTCGTTCACAGACTCTTTTGAAAAGCGTGATTTGATTTCCACAATTATATTCTTATGCAGTTGTTTGTTTGTTGATGTGTTTTTTAATTCCCTTCTTCTTTATATATTATATATAGATGTTTTGAAGTATTAGTTAATTAGTTGTGAGTATATGAATGAGTTTCTCATTAACTAATGTGAGTGTATATTTATATTTTAAGTTTTATTCATCAGTTTTGTGTTAAGGTAATAAGAATATTTTCGTTAGATGTACCCACCTCGTACTGATTTATCAGCTACCATAAGTTTACTAAATCTTTCAAACGAGATATCGACACAAATGAATTAACAAATATCAATAAACCTCATATAGATACTTGGCAAAGGAAGAATAAGGAAAAATCATTGATTCGTGCCTGACACATTACTCTTAAAATCCCTGAATTATTAATACAGATTACAGTGACATACTTTTCTTAATCTCGTTTGACCATTTGCACACAAAATAACTGTTTACCAATTGAATAATCTCCACAAACATAAATCTGTTTCTTGATTTCTTCTGTTGTTTTTTGACCGAGCCAAGATCCAAAACTGCCGGCATATCCAGGTGGAGCACATCTATATCAGTTCTTTGCCAATTGGACTATTAATTAACCACTAGCCAGCCGCCAAGGAATAACGGTTAAACAGATCCAGCAGCCCAATTCACAACAATCTCTCTCTTCCTTGGCACCTTCAACTCTTCAACGGTCTCTACAGTTTAGCCGCCTTGTCATAAATCTGCTAATTGTGATATCAAAATATAACTGTTTCCATATACACCATTTTACTTTCTCAAATTTGTGAAGATCAGTGACCTGGATGGGGATGGCACAGCAGCTTACCTCAGCAGTACACAATTCAGCTAAGGAAACCAATGGAAAAGGCCAGAGAGCCGAATTTCCAAAACCCTACATGGCTCATCCTTCCTCTTTCTTCTTCCTAAGCAGAAGAGAAAGGGTATTTTCACAAGACTCGAAACTTTCACATAGTAGAAAGAGCCTTCCGTGACGACCGGGAGATCCTCTATTCAAATTAAAGTGACCTTCATATGTTATATTATGCACATGGTGTCTAGACTAGTCCAATCTTTAAGCCTATATGAATGCCTTTCGTTTGAGGGGTTGTGTAATTGTGTTAGTAAATGATATATAACTCATCATTGAATCTCTCTCAACGACTTGAGTTATGAGTATCAATTAGTTCTTGACAAATTTCAAATCGTAGGATGGTGAAAAAATAACTATTTTATTTTAGGGTTGGGAGAATTCCACGTTCACAATCCATTAAATTGAGAGGTAATTAAAAGGTGTTCAAATATACATGTCCCAACCAGCATCTCTCTCTCGATCATAATAAGTTGGGGAATCAATCCCAAAGATATTTTGTTGGTCGGAATTTCTTGGGATATTATCGAATCGTCCTCATGCATAAAGATATTTGCAGGAAACGGGTGATGCTTGTTTGACAATCGCAAGAAAGGCCTTGGCCGGTTGCTTTCAGGTTGAGTCTAAATTCAGGGCAAAGTGCAAACCCACCCAGGCCAGCTAAAAATGATTTGATTGCCTTTCATTTGAAAGAGAGAAAGTCAATGATTATAGCCTAAATTCGAAGATATATAACAGGCCGTTGATCCACTTTGAAAGGCAGGGAGCAGTTAAGTTAACCTACGTACCCTTATTCCCTTAATTATCCTGTCCAGAAAGTTTGATGCTACGAAACACTGTTTAGTGAATAAGACTATTTCAACTAA